TTGTTGGAAGTTTTCCTTCATCTGATTACACATGCAAATCTAAAAGTTCCCAGCATCTCTTTGAGTAAGTTGTTCTGTCCTCCAAGTATGTCACAGCTCTCAGTCCTTTCAGTTGAACTGAGCATCAGAATGAGGAAGAAAGGGGGTTTAAGTGACTTTGAACGTGGCATGCTTGTTGGTGCCAGATGGGCTGGTCTGAGAATTTTAAAAACTACTACTGGGATTTTCATGCACAACCACCTCCAGGGTTTACAGGGAATAGTCCGAAAAAGAGAAAAAAATCCAGTGAGCGGCAGTTGTGTGAGTGACAATGCCTTGTTGATGTCAAAGGTCAGAGGAGAATGGGCAGACTGGTTCGAGACGATAGAAAGGCAACAGCAACACATGTCAATATGAACCAAAATCTCTGAGAAATGTTTCCAACACCTTGTTGAATCTATGCCACTAAGAATTAAGGCAGTTCTGAAGGCAAAAAGGGGGTCCCACCTGGTACTAGCAAGGTGTACCTAATAATGTGGCCAGTGAGTGTAAGTTGAATCTTTATCTTTACCACTATGGACAAGTACTGGTTCGCTTTAAATATTTCTCTAAAGAGCCAGTCCTTCATCCCATCATCATCTTTGACTGCTATATCCTGAAGACTCACTATTCTATTGTCTAAAACTACAATTAGCACTCTAGGGAGTCTCAGCTAATACACATGTCTGAATGCCAACTGACCTTTTACAAGCTGAACACCTGCTGCACTCATCACTAGCATTTGTACCATGAAACTACAATCCCTGCAGATGCGGTGTTGGTGTTCCAGATGGATTTTCACATCCCAAGACAAAAAATTATATTTTACTTGGTTGAAGAGTGATGATGCATATTCCTTCTGAAGGAAATTTCCAGGAAAACTGGAATCCCCTAGTTGTTCCGAACCCAGGTGCACATTTCTTTTGATGCAGAAATTCATGGGATGATAAAATTTGTTACTGCAGGTCAACCAGATGTGACTCAATGTATGTTTGTGATCAAACTTTAGTCCACCAAAGACAAGTTCTACAAAAATACTGATGCATTTTTGTACAGTAGAACAGAGCACTGTATCATGGTGTGGAACACGTCAGATTTAGTTCCTGCTGACTGTGATTGAATAACAGAGAAAACTCCTTTATTTGCAGGATATTTCTTTGATGGCACATAATAGGATTTACTGATAAATGTGAGCTACCACCTGTACTTTGGACTTGTGAGACATGAACTCATCTGTATTAACATACATAGAAAACAACCATGGGAAGTTGGGACCTTTCTATCTTTCTTGTTTGAGGGTCCTAAAGCAAATCAGGAATTTCTTTGCTTGTGGAATTAAATTCCCAATTTGAGTTCAGGTCTTAGAGAGAACATAGAGAGGTTCCACCCTCCCACATTCATTTGTCCTGCTCTTTACATTTTTTAGAAGCATGTTTCCATATTTTGTTATTTCTTTCCCAATAAAACCTGGAAAAAGGGACAACTACCATTTTACAGGGAATGTACTTTGTTGAATGGAGGGAAGGAGGGAATACTCCTTTCTATTTAAATGGTAATGATAGTTCTGGATAATGACAGAGAGCTCTACATACATAATGAGAGAAGCAGCATGATGGTAGTTATCAGGGGAATGATGAGGATGATGATGACAGCATACTGGGAGTTGCAGACAGATCCCGTCTGTTCATTTCTCTACTTTAATGCTGTGAAATGTCTTAATTGATTCTCTGCTCATCAAGAAGAGAGCGCAGTGCTTGTGCAATGTAGGAGTAATTCTGTTAAATTTGTGCTTGGAGACTTTGGTTCATGCGTTTGGTACAGTTATCTTACATCTGTATAGTTGTTATGGCTCTGGAGCTTCTCACAGTCCAACATCAGAGCATGACCTTTTGTACTAGTACTCCCAAGTAGGTACTTGTCTTTGTAAGCTTGTGTTATTTACACCTCATACTTTGTAAAGCTGTGGTTACTGTTTTTTGAACTATTGCATTTCATATCAGCGGTAGCAGGCATTAAAACCCAACATCACCATCTGAAGAAATATGAAATAATAATACAGGGCAGTGAACTCATCAAATTTCTAAGTAGTCGTAGATACTTGTATCCTATTTCCATATACTGTACTCCTATAGGCGAGTAGAGTATCCAGACAACCCTAAGTGAGATATTCATATTTTGCTTGCTATCATGGCGTTACTTAGAAATGTAGCAAAATACAAAAAGGAAAAAAAAGAATATGTGCAAATAATATGGTATAATTGACATATAAGCACAATCCATACCTCGTGATAATGAGTGTCAGTAGATTCAAGGTTCTAAGTTTCTGGGATAGGTGTGTCACAGAGGTCTCTTCACAAGGAAGGTTCAAATGCCTAAAGTGAGTATCCTGAGAAAAACAGGGACACTAATGAGGGAGTGGACCTGACCATGAAGTAGACCAGAGGGGAAAAGTTTGTGCATTTTTATTGAGGGTAGTAAACCACTGTAGACATTTGTAGTTCACTTGCTTCCAGCTCTGCACACCTGGCTCCTACTAGAGGAGTAGGGTGACAGTTTACAGTATACTTCTTCATCAGTTTTAGGTGTAGTGATGGAAAGTGGACAGGCTGTCTCTTTCAACCTCGCTGTCCTTTACCACCATCTTTTGTGTTGTGTTGTACCAGGGTAATAACTATGTGTTATGAAGCCCCATTGAAAATCCATGAAGGGGTCTCAATGTCTCTCTATTTTCTACCTCAAAGACAATTCCTCTAGTGGCTGTTTTCATAGCTATTGTATAGAGCAGCCTTTCTTAAAGTATGGGTCGTGGAACCATTTGCCATGGGTCTGCACCCAACTTGCGCTGCCACCCCCACAATGTTTACATTTTGGATTGAGTTTACAGCCACCCGCACTGGGCAGAGCAGCTTGCAAAAAGGAAACAGAGGTGTAAGGGGTGCAGGGGGATGCAGAGGAGAGCAGTGGGAGTACTGTAGAAAGGGTGCAGAAATGAGCACTGGGGGGTGCAGATAGCAGTGGGAGTACTGTAGAAAAGGGTGCAGAAATGAGCAGTGGGGGTGCAGAGGATAGCAGTGGTCTGGTAGAATAAGGCGGCAGTGGCGTAAAGGGTGTCCAGAGGTAAACAGTGGGAAGGTTCAAAGGTTAGCACTGGTGGAATAGTGTTGTAGTGGTGTAAAATGGGTGGGGTGCAGAGGTTAATAGGGGTGTGAGGGGACGCAGAGGGGAGCAGTAGGGATGCAGTGTTGTAAAGAGGGGGCAGAAGTGAGCAGTTAGAGGTTAACAGTTGTGCAATGATGTAAAAGGGGTGCAGAGGAAAGATGTTGTGGACAAGGGCAGCAGACACAAATGGTGCCAGGTGGAGAAATGAGTGATGGATGAGGGCTACAAAGGTTAGTGGCAGACAATGTGTTCTGGGGTTGGTGGTGGATTATATATGTAGTGTTAGCACACCATATCCAGAGCATATATAATGGATGAATTTTGTTTTCAAAAAGTATTGTTCGGAGATTTATGTGTCTGTTAGACATTTACGTATGGCATAGTAATCAAGCATTGTTTGTGGGTACAAGGATTTGGCATATGTGAGTTGAGTATACTATGAGTCGGATTAATTTCAACTTTAACACCTTTGAGCCCTTCCCACTGTCAGTGTAGTATGGGCCACACTCAACATTTGCCAAAATGTTCTCCTTGCAATACCTAAAAATACCTTGGGTCTTATTGTAATGAATCTTATGAACCTATTCTGTTTTAAATTTTACTCTTTTTTATTATCAATATGTTAGCTTTTTACATTATGCTTTAAAGCAGCAGTAAAGTTAACAGAGAAAAAAGGTCCCGTCCTAAAAGTTTAAGCCATAATGTGCTAGTATGCACTGCATACTAGCACATTATGCCGCCTGGCAGTACTAGGGTCGTTGGTTCGAATCCCAGCCACGGCACCACCCGCCTGGAGTTTGCATGTTCTCCCTGTGCATGCATGGGTTTCCTCCTGGTACTCTGGTTTCCTCCACACTCCAAAGACATGCTGGCAGGTTAATTGGCTCCTGTCTAAATTGTCCCTAGTATGTATGAATGTGAGTTAGGGACCTTAGATTGTAAGCCCCTTATGAATGTGAGTTAGGGACTGATGTAAATGTACAATATATATGTAAAGTGCGGCGTAAATTGACGGCGCTATATATAAGTACCTGTAATAAATAAATAAAAGTATGTCAGACTTAACTTTAGAACAGATCCCTCCAGCAGCGCCCTGTCACCGCTGACAGTAATTCCATCTTCATCCAATCTTCTTCTGGGTTCATGAGCTCCGGCCATTCAATTGGCCAAGCCCACGATGACATCACCACAGCGCATGCATGCGGGAGCCCTGGGCACGCACAGAGCTCTAAAGGAATGGCACAGGTATGACATTCCTTTAGAGCACTGGCTGCTGCTCGCTGGAATATCTCCCAAACAGTGCATGATTAGAAGATATTTATTTTACCTACAGGTAGACTTATATTATAAATGGCACAAAAAGACCACTTTTAAGGCTTTGCTGACATTTTGGTAAAAATTCTCTTCTTGGGTCACATTAAAACAATTCTGGGGGGCAAATTAAACAAATTAAGAATCCCTGATATAAGTTTTTGAACTGCATAAAAGTTCACTTTATCCACAAAATTTGTCAAATCTATTGCTAAGTGGTAGCTTAACACTGCATCCCTTGTTCTGTGGCCTTATAGTAGCACCTCAAGTTCTGTAACGGCCATTTACACCCTTGGCTATGGCGATCTGGCCTAGGGGGGGCAAGCAGTGTAAATCATTGGCACTTGCATACATTTCAGATTTTTCTCTTTTGCTCCTCACATATTCAGCTCCCATGATGGAAATCGAGCAACAGAGGGCTTCTCATTTGCAAAAGGGTCTTTCTCATGCATTTTTGCTGCTCTCCTTCAAATAGGGATCAACATGAATGATGATGCACCTTGTTTTTTTTTCCAGGAGATGGAAATCCCAAGGAAAGTTCACCGTTTATCAACAGTTCGGAAATTGATACGGGCAAAAACATGGCTTTGTTTGAGGTAAGAAGCAATCAAAAGCAATAGCAATCAACTGGAATAGTCAAATTTTGACTTCTATAACTAGTCTAGAGAAATGGAAAATGACATTTTATTGCCTGTTTTATTCCTCACTAAAGACCATGGTACATACAAAGATAATGGTTGTGCACAAGTTATGGAAGATATCATGGCAGTATTAACGAAGCTATGGTTATAAATTATTATTGCTATTGTAATTATATCTTTAAAAATAGATATAACCAGAAAAATAAATAATGACGTGGATTGGTGTAAGTTAATTTACACAAGCGCTTTTAATCCTGCATTTAAAAGCATTAAAGTACTTATTTCAGAGCACCCCCAGCAGTCCTCTTTGGTCTTATGATACCCTGTCCTGGTCATGTGCTTCACAATTCCATTCTTTCCTGTGCACTTTCATGTAGGAGCTCACATTCAGAATCCTATAGGAATGAATGGGATTGCACAGCAGGCACCTGGGCCTGGACAGATAGATTTGTGACAAGCAGCCAGGTGATCGTTAACTCAATGGATCAGGACAAGTGAATAAAACACTGGGAATTAAAGTTTTTTTGGCAGGGTATCATCAGAGAATATGCTGATATACGTGTAGCTGCACCAAAAGGTTCTTAAAACCCAACTCTAGTTAAAAAGTTGTATTTTTTGTGGCGGGGGATAAATCCTCTGACAAGTTTTTATTGCTGCCTGTACCCCTGTTGGCAACATTCTATTGCTCTACTGCAATCATGATTGTCACTCTAGGCCACCCTTTCTCAACCTTTTGAACACAGAAGAGCCATTGAAATAACTTTCTGGTCTCAGGGAACCCTGCTAAAATGACTATATCTACAAATCATATAATATATTAGTGAGTTGGTCAATGGGAAGGGCGCTCCTTAGACTTGTGGTCATTGAGAAGAATCCCCCCCTTCCAGATAGTTAAAAAGACCATTGGTGTCAGTGGAACTCACCTGAGAGGCAAAAATTACTCATTGCTCAAGGAACTCCTGGCAACCTCTGGAGGAAACCCTTGTGCTCCATGGAACCCTGGTTAAGAAATCCTCTAGGCTCATCTTTTGCTTACAAACACTCTTCATTTAGATTACATGGGGGTGGAGACATTTGCAGTTTACTGAAGATAGTTTGGAAGAGAAATAAAATTGTTCATGATTTCACTTCAGTTCACAGGAAGTCACAATGATCAATACATTTCTAGCAAGATAAACAGGTAATGTCTCAGAAAATGTTCTTAGTCTGAAAAATTAAAATGAATGAAGCCACCACACATAAGAGCTGACAAACTGCAAGGTATTCAGTTTTTTTGTTGTTGGGTTAAAGGATATCTAAAGAAAACGTGTAGGGAAGTGTTAAAACAGCTGACAGTTTTTTGCCAGTCGCATCTTATCAGAAAGATTCCCCTTCACTTCTTGTCCTAAGTGCTCAACAAGAGATGAGAGAATATTTTTACAAAATTGTCAGATGTCCCCAATGGAAAATTTTCCTGCTATTCCTGTTTTGGTGGCAACTCAAAATTGTGGATTTACCCTTACTTTTATTCCTGATGACATAGGTGATCAGGATAGTTTAAGAAGTAGAATCTTTTCAAAGGAACAGAGACAGCAATAAACCCTGGGATTTAGAAGAAAGGGTTGGGACACTGAAACTCTAAATGTTCTTAGGTTTTAAGCAGTATAGAGGGATAGATTATTCTCAGTCAGCTCTCCCAGGAGTGGTGGCTGGAGGTTGGCTCTTTGCTTGAATAGAAAATAGGTGTGCAAGAAAGAAAAAGGCCAAAAGCAGAATGTATAAAGTCCAGGTTGAATTTTCATCAGACTCTTATGTCATAAAAAGCCAACATGTTTCTGGAATTCAAAGGGTCCCCCTTCATTAGGGCTTGGCACTGATGTGTGCACTGGACTAATAAAATTAGAAGAATACTGCATATCCAGAATATGGAGCCATCAAAAAACTAACTATGCCTTAGGATCAGAGAAATTAGACTAATTACCCCTCAGGATGCCCTCAGGAAAGCCTGACAATGGTTCTAACCATTCGCCACTTTCTTCAAATCTGAATAAGCTTTGCCTTTAGTTACACTTGAATATATCCTTAGGTTACTCATCAACATTTCATGTCTATTGGAGGCCTTCTCCTTTCTGGCTGGCCATTGTTAGACCAGCCATAGATGGATCGAAACTTGACTGGTGTAGCAGGGACCAGCTGAGATTTGATCCATCTATGGGCAGGTTGATTGTATCCAAATTGGTTGACTTGGGTACATCCAGCATATTGGATTTTTAGCATGCGATTATTGCCAGTGGCAAGCAGTAATCCCTATGCTCTCCCAGCAGGGACTGCTCCCCCTTGCTGGGAGAATACAATAGCTCGGTGTATGGGATTCCCCCATCAACACTGATTATGTTGATGGAGCAATCAAATGATTTTCTTTTTTGCAACCCGTGGTTGCAGTAAAGAAAATTGCATAATCTGTGGCCTGCTTTAAAGAGATTAGGTGATTGAATTGCACGGGTTAGAAAACCTAATGGCTATTGTACCCTCTTGAGTTGATGATGGACTCTTGGTCATAGCTGCCTCCTCCCTTCTTTCACATAAAGCTTACACTTGAATGTAATTCTAGGTATAAAGTGTAGACCAGGGGCGGACTGACAACTCATGGGGCCCCCAGGCAATAGGGGATCATGGGGCCCCTGTGTCCTTGCCCAAACTCAAAAAAGCCTATAAAAAAGGTACCAGGGGCATCTCATGGGGCCCCCTACTGACCCCGGGCCCTCGGGCAGTGCCCGAGTTTCCAAATGGTCAGTCCGCCCCTGGTGTAGACTCAGCTCTTTCTAAACCACTTGCCTAGAACAAGTATGCAGGTCAGGAGTTCTGATTTCACTTACTGCATGCTTATAGGTTTTTGACTCCAAGACCTCAGGCAGCCGAGAAACTAATATTTTCAGAACTAGGTCTATAGTGGTTGCCCCTGAATATCTGTCATGGCAAGTTTTCTTAAAAATGGGTGCAACACAATTAAAATTATATATGCAACAAGGAAAGAACTTACCACAAACTAGTGCAGAATAAACCACTTTAATGGTGGGCATACCTCCAAACTTACTTAGTAAGGAAAAATATTTAGGCAGAGGGCACAGCCTTTCCATGCCCCAGACCACATGCACCTGGAATCATTAATGCACCAAAAATATGAATTGTTAAAGCTTATATAACCTTAAAAACAATAATGTTATATATTGAAATTTACAAGTCCTTAAATGAGTGACTTCATTAGTTTTCTTTTTTTCTCAAGCTTTCTTCTTTATTTGTACCTGGTGCCTCTGCCAGTAACATCACTCAGTGTCCTAAGGTGACAATGCTCACTCATTGTATTGTATCAAAACAGTTTTGTCACTCTAGGATAGCACTATAGAAACCACCCCTCTCCTCTTCTCTGTAATAGAAAAGAGGTGTTCTGTAGTCATCAGAGATAACTGGTAACAATGTTTCTGTTAACAGTGCAGTAGAGACAGAGAACATAGGTTGTTAGCTGACAAGATTTCTGGCCGGATCAACAGCTATTTTATTGCACTCATCGAACACACATAATAAAATGTTTTCAATGGTTTATTTAACTGTACAAAAGGGACCAAATAAGAAAAGTTTGTTGTTCAGGTTTACATACAATTTCATTTTTTTACCATTACTTTTCCCTTTTTTTGGTGTTAAAAGATAGCTAGTACTGTAATATGAAAGCTGGAAGAAAAAATTGTGCAAATTAAGCACTTTCTGTAATTAAATAGTCTATATATTTATATAGGTCTTTACTAAAGATCTAAGAGCAAAATTGTAGGTTGAAAAGGGCACAAGGTTTTGGTTCCAAAGAGGGACTGTCCCCCCAAATATGGGGTATTTATTAGCTTGCAAATGCCTCCCTAAAGGGAGTGATAGGACACCATGATGTATAAGCAGCTCTGTAGCATTTCAACATCCATACACTTAGTGCCTTTTATAGTTTTGCCTAACCCAAGCTTCTTTTTTAATCTTTTGTACTACAGGAGGAAATGGACACAAGTCCTATGGTCTCCTCACTACTTAGCGGTTTGGCGAACTACACAAACCTGACACAAGGTGTACGGGAGCATGAAGAAGCAGAGAACAATGAAGGGGCAAAGAAGAAGCCAATTCAGGTAAAACTCAATTTTTACTGTCTAAAGATGGTTATTTATTCTGTAATATACCATATACTGAATATCTCTTTCCATAAAATACAGTCCAGATCCAATATAAACCAGGTTCTGCTCTTCAGAAAGTCCATCGTTACACTGAGGGACTCTCAAAGGCAGAATGTAATTTCCAATGCAAAATTAATAATATGAATTATTTATCCTTGTTGCCCCCTTCTCTTGACCTGACCTAACCTACTCTCACCCTCCACAAATGCAACTTTGATCCAAAAGCCATAGTTCAGCTGTTTGTTTACATCCAGTAGTGCAGTATTCAATGCCCCATAGACTTCTAAGGGTTGTGTTCCAGGGCTGGAGGCAATCAGAGAAGGTCCCATAGGTTCTACAGGGCTGTAATGCTCAGATGTGGCAGGATGATGAAGACTTGTGGCGCTGGATGTACACAATCAGGGGCTGCGGCCACTGCATGGAGGTAAGTATGCACCTGTAGAGGGGGAGAATGAGTTAGGTTAGGTCAAGGAAAGGGGACAAGAAGGTAAGTGCACTTTGTTTTAAATATACAGTGTATATACTAAATATATTATATAAATATCTGCTCACCTCCTATTTTGGTGACAAAATAAAATTTTCTCCATCACTTTAAATTTCCATTTTTCCATCACTTTCTGTCTCAATGACAGCACTCAACAGGACAAAAAAAGAGGGTAAATACCCTCAGCAAAAACAGATACAGGGTGCCCCCTAATGGTTTCCCCCAAAACAAACAGATAGCAGCCTGTCAATAGCTGACAGATGCTCAGGGCACTTGCTCTCTCTACTGTGGCAGCCCACTGACTGTGGACAGAACACTAAAAGGTTTCAGGAAATCAATGAGGGTCATTCTCTTAGTCACTTGCTTGGACATTGTTTTATGCTATGGATTTGCTATACAAAGCCCTCCTGCATTGAAACAATGTGTGTTTGCTGCATTGCTTAATAAAAGTGCAGGATAAACCTGCTTGGACTGTTCCTTGGTACACATGATGTACCGTTGCCACTACCACTTGAGCATGCACTCCTCTCAGAGGCGTCCCTAGGGTTGGTGTCACCCGGTGCGGTAACACTTGGTGACACCCCCTCCGACAATCCCCACAGAATGGATCGGATCTGCGGATTGAGCATAATGAATCGGACTCCCATCCATTATGCTCAATCCGCAGATCCAATCCATCCTGTGGGGATCGTCAACTTTCTTTACAACTTACCTTTTCTTGGAGCGGGGCCGGTGTAGCGGCAAGATGTGTCTCCCATGTAGATATGTCCCCTCTGAAGCAACTGCGCATGTCCCAGTTGAAACATGTGCAGTTGCTTCAGGGGGGACATATCTACATGGGAGACACATCTTGCCGCTACACCGATGTCACCCCCCCCCCCCCCGCAGGATCATCGGCATGCAACCCCGTATAGGTTGCATGCTGATGCAGGATCATCGGCATGCACCCCATATAGGTTGCATGCCGATGCAGAATCATTGGCATGCACCCCGTATAGGTTGTATGCCGATGCAGGAAAATCGACATGCAACCTATACGGGGTGACACCGGACCCGCTCCGCGAAAAGGTAAGTTGTAAAGAAAGCCGACGATCCCCGCAGGATGGATCCGATCCATCCTGCGGGTATCGTCGGCTTGCTTTACAACTTACCTTTTCGTTTGGAGCGGGTCCGGTGTCACCCCGTGCGGTCGGTGTCACCCCGTGCAGACCACACCCCCCGCACCTGCCTCGGGATGCTACTGACTCCTCTACAACTTGGTGCCTGGGTGCAGGCAGTGCCTTGAAGAGTCAGACACCTAGGGGTCTATTTATAAAAAAATGTGCATAACAAGTTGTCAAGCTAATCTGCATGTACATTTGTTCACTGAGAATTGAGAGTTAAAACGAATGTTCTTAAGGCTATTTTTTCTACTGAATGAATGTGTTTCTTTTATGATGGGCAGTGGTAAAATATGTCATTATGGTCACTAGATACAGCGGAAGTGCATAAAAAAATAAATACGTCTGTGTAACAAGAGAAACAATGTAACAATTCTAGAGAATGCTGGGGAATTAGCCAATTAACCAATAGTTACATTTATTTCCTAATTCTCTCTACTGCTAGTGTGTCAAACTCAATTTCATTACGGGCTGTATCAGCATTAGGGTTTCCCTCAAAAGGGCCAGTTTTATCTGTAAGGCTAGTAGTCCAGAGCAACCCCCCACCCCTTACATAAGACATTGAGAGCCCCCCCCCCCACCATCAGATGCCAAGAGTCCCTTACCCTCCCTTACATCACAGTGCACTATATCACAGTGCACTCACCTTACCATGTGCTGCTGCCGGTAAGAAGTGGAGATGAGAAGCAGAAAGTGCAGGGTCTGGAGGAGGACCAGAGGAGGTCTGAATTCAGCTGGTGGAGTCTGCTGAATGCTGAGATCAGGGGAGGTGAAGGCAAGGGGATGCTGTGGCTGCATAGAGATGTGCAGAATCTGTAGGAGGACCTTTGTCCTCCTCTCTGATGACGACTATTGATATGGGGGGGGGGGGCAGAGAAAACCTCTTCAAGGCTGCATGAAGCATTGGATCTGGCAGAGGGATTCTGTCCTCCTCTCTGCTGCCGCCTACCGAGACAAAGTGGGGACAGAGATGAGGGGGTTACTGCAGCTGAAGGAGAGGGTGTGATGGCCACATGAAATGACCTGGAAAGCCAGATTTGGCTCAGGGGTCTTGTGTTTGACACTGTACTAACATTAATTTATTCCTAATATACACAGTATATGTAGATTTTCTGGATGGATGGCTATTCAAGTTTATTTAAGATAAGACCCCCTATTGTTGAATAAAATGCAGTAGCTTGTAAAACAGCTTTTGCTGGCAAAGACTAACCAAGAGCTAATTAATCAGCTACTTCTACAGCCGAACTGCTTAGCCATCCAAATAATGCAACAACTCACTGAAGCCCACTAGGCCACAGCAGCAAGTGAACCTGTCCCTACTTCAGCAGATTCAGGCCCTGTTGGAGAGGCAGATAGTGGTACAAGGCTGCCATCTTCACCTCAATAACTGGTGCATAATTTTACAGAAATTGTCTCATGGAGGATGATGTTAAAGTCCTCCTAAGCACTTTTGATAGAGTCACAAAATACAGTCAGGTTCATAAATATTGGGACATTGACACAATTCTAACATTTTTGGCTCTATACACCACCACAATGGATTTGAAATGAAACAAACAAGATTTGCTTTAACTGCAGACTGTCAGCTTTAACTTGAGGGTATTTACATCCAAATCAGGTGAACGATGTAGGATTTACAATAGTTTGCATATGTGCCTCCCACTTGTTAAGGGACCAAAAGTAATGGGATAATTGGCTTCTCAGCTGTTCCATGGCCAGGTGTGTGTTCTTCCCTCATTATACCAATTACAATAAGCAGATAAAAGGTCCAGAGTTCATTTCAAGTGTGCTATTTGCATTTGGAATCTGTTGCTGTCATCTCTCAAGATGAGATCCAAAGAGCTGTCACTATCAGTGAAGCAAGCCATCATTAGGCTGAAAAAACAAAACAAACCCATCAGAGAGATAGCAAAAACATTAGGCGTGGCCACAACAACTGTTTGGAACATTCTTAAAAAGAAGGAACGCACCGGTGAGCTCAGCAACACCAAAAGACCCGGAAGACCACGGAAAACAACTGTGGTGGATGACCGAAGAATTCTTTTCCTGGTGAAGAAAACACCCTTCACAACAGTTGGCCAGATCAAGAACACTCTCCAGGAGGTAGGTGTATGTGTGTGTCAAAGTCAACAATCAAGAGAAGACTTCACCAGAGTGAATACAGAGGGTTCACCACAAGATGTAAACCATTGGTGAGCCTCAAAAACAGGAAGGCCAGATTAGAGTTTGCCAAACGACATCTAAAAAAGCCTTCACAGTTCTGGAACAGCATCCTATGGACAGATGAGACCAAGATCAACTTGTACCAGAGTGATAGGAAGAGAAGAGTATGGAGAAGGACAGGAACTGCTCATGATCCTAAGCATACCACCTCATCAGTGAAGCATGGTGGTGGTAGTGTCATGGCGTGGGCATGTATGGCTGCCAATGGAACTGGTTCTCTTGTATTTATTGATGATGTGACTGCTGACAAAAGCAGCAGGATGAATTCTGAAGTGTTTCGGGCAATATTATCTGCTCATATTCAGCCAAATGCTTCATAACTCATTGGACGCCGCTTCACAGTGCAGATGGACAATGACCCAAAGCATACTGCAAAAGCAACCAAAGAGTTTTTTAAGGGGGAAAGAAGTGGAATGTTATGCAATGGCCAAGTCAATCACCTGACCTGAATCCGATTGAGCATGCATTTCACTTGCTGAAGACAAAACTGAAGGGAAAATGCCCCAAGAACAAGCAGGAACTGAAGACAGTTGCAGTAGAGGCCTGGCAGAGCATCACCAGGGATGAAACCCAGCGCCTGGTGATGTCTATGCGTTCCAGACTTCAGGCTGTAATTGACTGCAAAGGATTTGCAACCAAGTATTAAAAAGTGAAAGTTTGATTTATGATTATTATTCTGTCCATTACTTTTGGTCCCTTAACAAGTGGGAGGCGCATATGCAAACTGTTGTAATTCCTACACCGTTCACCTGATTTGGATGTAAATACCCTCAAATTAAAGCTGACAGTCTACAGTTAAAGCACATCTTGTTCATTTCATTTCAAATCCATTGTGGGGGTGTATAGAGCCAAAAATGTGTCAATGTCCCAATATTTATGGACCTGACTGTAAGAGAAGCTGTCCGAGGAGCAGTGGGTTTATATGCCAGCACCCTTTTTAATAGGGGAACCTCAAAAGGACTACTTTGATTTATAATCTCAGGATGCCAAAGAGTATCTCATACTCAGAAGAGAAATCCTAGCCAGGTTTGAGGTTACCATGAACTTTCAAGCGCAGTGTGTGTTGACATAGGAATTAGGCCCTGGGAAGCCTACAAGATCCTAGATATACGATTTGTACCACCTTACAAACAAGTGGTTGCAAACCTGAGGTGCTCATCCCTGCTCAGATTTTGGGGAAAGTGGTGAGTGACTTTTACATTAGAGCCTTTAAGATACAGTGGTGCAATAGGCATGTAGACTGCAAGACTGTGGATGATCTGGTGTTCCTTTTGGAACAACATACTGCTCCAAGATCAGTCTCTGGGATCTGCCTTCCAAGGTGGTAACTCCTTGCAAAAGGAAAACAGAAACCTTGGGTAAGATAATTCCTTTTTTTTCCAAGGTCTTAAAGGCTCCAAAGGTGCTAGATATAAAGTCCTCTTAGCCCCAAAGGAGTCTTTTCCTTGAGAGAGACATATTAGTTTCTGGCAGTGCCAAGGACTGGGACATGTGCCTGCCAATTGCCACATATTAATTAACCTTTGGAGCGTATCCTGGGGAGGTGTATGGAGTTATTTTCCAATCCTGTTCTGGCAGCACACCTAGGAACCGAGGCTATCCTATCACAATAGAAGGACACCTAGTTGGGACAGCTTGCGGCTTCACATCACTTTCTACTGTGCATGTGCGAATGGTCCAGTAGTCTTCTGGGACCTGTGATATGTCAAGGCACACAGGCCAGGGACCCAGCATGGGAATGTTTATGTACCAGTACCGTATGTTGGTAAAATGTGCTCTATACCCAGGTCAAGGGGGTGGGGGGTTATGTAAGACAATGGCTGTAAGGATTGTGAACAATATATAGTCTTTTATATGTATGAGCTGACTTTCACTCAGAACTCCCCCTTGCTGTCTCTGCTATGGGAGTCTGCTGCTGTGTGAAAATGCTGACTGCTGACAGAACACTAAAAGGGTAGATGTGCTACTTGTTTGTTTTTCTGCCCCATTAGGGTCACCCAGTTAATTAGGAACTGACTAGAGTCTAGATAGTTGCTCAGATTAGCAAATGTTTTGCTTGTTTTATGCTATAAACTTGTACAAATGCCTCCTGCATTGAAAAATGTGTTTACTGCATTGCTGAATTGATGCAAAGTACAAACCTGCTTGGATTGTTCCTGGGTATCCCTGTCTCATGCATAGCTTACCACTGCCACCTCCATTTGAACCTGCCCCCTTACAATATATGTATACAAGTACAGTATATCACAAGTACCAATGTGAAAATGTTTCTAAACATTTGCATTGGATATACTATCCAGTATTTCTTTTTGCAAATAAAGAATTGACTTACAAAATTTAACCAGTCACCCAAATGTCAAACTTGTCGTGTTATTTACAATTCTTTAGAGAGTAATCAAAACTAGTCATAATGTTGAAATGTGGGAGATTCCATAGTACATATTATAGCGACCTTACCAATGTAGCTATTGTGATCTTATAAAATAGGTTTCCTTCAGAAAAATGGTAAGTGTAGTCCTGCTGATGCAAACATCTGGCACATATTTGCTAACGTTCTTTCTTTCTTCCAGGCTCCACGGATGGGAACCTTCATGGGGGTGTACCTTCCCTGCCTACAAAATATTTTTGGTGTCATCCTCTTTCTCCGTCTTACTTGGGTGGTGGGAGTTGGTGGTGTTCTGGAATCATTCATTATGGTCCTCATGTGCTGTTCCTGCGTGAGTATGGGACCAGGAAAATAGATGGGGAGGGACAATAGCTCAGACAATGAGTAACCTAAGATAGCAACATTCATTTCAAGAAGCCTTTGACAAAACACATAAGGTAGGAGACCTACACAGAGAAGACACAATGATGATGATTATGATGATTTTTGGTATATTAACAGTGGCTATAGGCTGGGCAGTTTTTCATCTAACAATTATGAAAACTGTATATAAATTACTATGGTGGGCCCTCTTCTCTCTCAACCATACCTACAAAACCCTTATTTTTATTTATTTTTCTTTGTAAGCTAGTTCATCTGTACCGAAATATTGGCACTCAGTTTGCACCATTATCTTTGGATAGACAAGCTGTAGCCTCTGACTGACTGACTGATGGCACTGCATAAGATATCCAAGGGTCACAGTTTTCAGGATGAGAGAGACAACAACCTCACAATGTGGGGGAGTTTTATTTTTTAAGAACAACCCCAGTTAAAAGCAAGTTTTCTGAACTCTGTCTGTAGACACCAGTGCCCTTATATGTCTTACAAAGCAAATTTTAGATTAAATATCTGCCCATGTATGTCCATTGCAACAGTTTTCACTAACTGACACCTGTTTTAATACATCTGCCATTAAGTAGGATACTGAAGAATAATTCCAAATGCAAAGATTATTCTAGTCAATGATTCTCAAGCCCTTTGGCTAAGTTTTCCCATAATTGCAGAACTGAATGTATGCCAGCACAGGTACACTACTTCAGAAAGTTGTGTTTATCACTGATGTTCTGTGTTCTTCTTTCTTGCCGACCTTTAATTCATCATGTATCCTTTCCCGCTTCCATCCTCCTACCACATGTTACTTCATCTTCTCCCTCCTACATCTCCGCTGATACATTTCATAGCCTTTCTACTGCCATCTTGCACACCATACAGTCCAGGAAGTCAGAAACTTTCAACAGTATGGAGCAGGACTGGCCCCATGAACTAGTACATACATATATTGCTCCATAGCAGTTCCAAGGGTAACCACACTCTATGCTTGAAGTAAATGCCCAGGTGCTCACCCACAAAGAAATGTATTCAAATCCAAAACTGGTATAGAGGCACTCATGGGTCTTGCAGAGCATGTAGATCAAAAACAGTAGTGCTTTTATTGACAACATTTCGTTGAAGCTCAGTCCATCTTTCTCAAGACACCTTGAGAAAGATGGACTGAGCTTCATTGAAATGTTGACAATAAAAACACTGCTGTTTTCGGTCTACCTTCTCTGCAATACCCTTGAGTGCCTCTATAGCAGTTTTGGATTCATATTGCTTCATAGCTGATCTATTTAAAGTATCCACAAACAGATAATTTAATAAACCGCAGAGGAAAATGGAGCTTTTGTTCATAATAAGCACATTCTCCTTTTTTTCTGCAAGGGTTAAAAAAAGTTAAAGGGTCAGTCTACCCAAAAGTGATGTCTTTGCTATAGGTGGGCTGAGTCAGCTCCTCACTTCTTATATGTTTTGGACAATCCAACAGTGAGATATTCCTGCCGTTATTCCCAACTCTGTTCCTGTACACCTAGGGGTTTTGGGCATTTCCACCTACCTTTGTGTTTTTCTAGCACCTTCTTTTATATTCTCTATACTATGAAGGAAACAAAAAACAGAGAAGAGAATTCTTCATAGGTGTGCAAATTTGAGAGGTCAAGAGATCTTACCAAAAGAGTCTCTAATGCAGGCCATAGACGGGTCGAAAACTGGCCGTTTTTAAAAAACAAAAAAAACAAAAATTGGTCGTTCAATAGGCCGACGTTACCACCAATGGTAAAAAAAATCGCCCGATTTTTGTCCCGTCTACGGCCGGCATTTAATTACTTCTGTCCCGTGCAGAGAGCTCCGCTATTATATTTGACATGAAAAAGTATTGCAGTTGCAACAATGTATCCATTTGTATCCATTTTGGATACAGATGGTTTTATTCGGATACAAATAGATACAATGTTGCAACAGCAATACTTTTTCATGTCAAATATAATAGCGGACTGGAATTCTTCTTCTTTTTTTTCTTCTTTTTTTTCTTCTTCTTTTTTCTTCTTCTTCTTTTTCTCCTTCTTGCAGGCTACGGCTCATGCGCAGATTTCTTATCGGTAAAACGATCGGCCAATTTGCCCATCATTGCTGGGAAAATCGGCCGATCGGCAAAATCAGCCGATTTTTTGCCAACTTTACCGATTAAAAAATGTGCCGCGAAAAACGTCCGACCACTAACGGTGCAAAAATCGGACGATTTTTTTTCCGGCTGATTTTCGACCCGTCTATGGCATGCATTAGAGATATAAGAAATTATCAGGTGATGTAAAACTACCCTTGCAGTGGGACTCCCAATGGATTGCAGGGCTTCATGTTAATTTAAGCAGAATCGTGTGGGAGTGATAGAAAAGCTAAGTAAAATTGCTTTCTGATGGTACCCTAGACAAAAATGAGATTTAACCCTTGTAGTGCAGAGGGGAGCCCTACTGCAAGGGTAGTTTTTAATTTTCCTCAGAGTTCAGCTTTAACTTTCCAGTATCTACCAAATACTGAAATATTCATCTTTGGAGAACTGGCTCTTTAGTACTGGATATATTTTCTGTTGACAATTATATTTTGCTTGTTCAATAGGGTCAGCAGATCCAAAAATGGTATTTCAGTTTTGTGTGGACTCAAAGGCATTTATTCAACCAGCAATTTATTCTCAGTGGCAGCAAGCTCTGACATAGGTGTTCTTAACCTTTTTAAGATTACAGACCCTCAATGGATAGATACACTCCAATCCCCCCTTCACCAGACTGTCAAAATAATCATCATCACCAGTCCTATTAAGCACCAGCTAAGATATCATTAGCTTGCTTTTTTATATATGATTAGTTAGGTAATAAACAACCAAAATACATTTATTAGGATGTTACCTTATTTGTTGTCTACTAAGATTTTTCCTGGAACCTAAGCACAGTTCCTAACAATATTTTGTGCATGTCATCTGACATAGCAAGTCATTTTTCTGCTTTTATTTCAAGTTCACAAATGCAAAAAATCCTAGTTTATTATGTATTTAAATAATTCAGTGATCCAATTTCATACCTGCATGAATTACTATCCCATCAAGAAGTATGGATACCCCCTGGGTATGAATTCCTGGTCTAAGATCCTAAGTTTCTCTCTTTTTTTAGGATATGTGTGTTGAGCGATATATGACGTGATAGTATAGCAGATATAGGGCGTGGCAAGGAGATTTCTTCCCTGTAGATCCCAAGAGATATATAAGACACCCATGGGTGATTGCACTCAACAGCATTCACCTATAACAGAAATCACTTTTGAGTGAACAGACCCTTTAAACTTTTTTTTACCAGCTCTACTTCTTTTTGTTTTCTGAGCCAGGCTATCACAACAGGTTACATATATACTTCTTGTGCTTCATATCACATTGACTGAATGAGCAACGTTGTATTACATAACAGTGTCTTATTTCACATTCATTCTTTTTTTTTTTCCCATCCCGTCTGACTTTACTGCCAGTATCTGTGTCTGATATCACTCCCACTCTCCATCAGATCGCTTCCACTGCCAGAGCTTACCCATAATTGAGCAAAGTGGAACTGTTTCCTGAATTATCGCCTAGTTTTGTATTCTATTGCAAGTGCTAATTTGAAATGAGCGCTATTTGGCTAGCACTTAAATTGCAATACCCATTTGTGTTCTAGGTTATTAAGTTAAAGAGGTGGATGTCATTCAATTAAGGCAGCCAAAGAAGATCCTATGCCAAACTGATAATGTACAAGGAGACAGAGCTTGCAATAGAAAATAATTGCACAAGGGGGTGGTAAATTGCAAACATCCTGTCCCCTGCTTAAAGCGAATGTGTTAATATAAGAGAGTATCTAAACTAAAGTTACTTTTCAGTAGTGGGCATCATAAAGTGCTGACATATATCCACAGCACCCTGAGAGCCCCAGAAATCTAGGTGCGTATGGTATGCAAATGCTGACTGCTTTGTTGGAGCTTAGGTACGCCCCAAAATCCAATGCAGGTGCCTTGGTGACCTAATGCCGAAACTGTGCAAGTTCATTTTTGGGAAAAAAAAGATTATTTATTTATTTCAGGTACTTATATAGCGCCGTCAATTTACACAGCCCTTTACATATATATTGTACATTCACATCAGTCCATAACACTCGGAGGGGGGAAAAAATAAGTTCCCTAACTTACATTCATACATACACGGGCCAGTTTAGACAGGATCCAATTAACCTACCAGCATGTCTTTGGTGTGGGAGGAAACCCACGCAGACACAGGGAGAACATGCAAACTGCAAGCAGGTGGTGTCATGGTTGGGATTTGACCCAACGAACCTACAGGGGCGGACTTACAACTCATGGGGCCCCCGGGCAATAGGGGATCATGGGGCCCCTGTGTCTTGCCCAAACTCAAAAAAGCCTATGAAAAAGGTACCAGGGGCATCTCATGGGGCCCCCTACTGACCCTGGGCCCTCGGGCAGTGCCCGAGTTCCCAAATGGTCAGTCCGCCCCTGGACCCCAGTATTGCCAGGAGGAAGTGCTAACCATTTAGCCACTGTGCTGCACAGATTACTTTTACTTAAAGCTCATCTAAACCTAAAACATCTCTAAAATATATTGCAGCTTATTAGTCCTTAGATGTGGTGGTTGCATTAGGTGTTTTCCTGATATTTCCACCTCACTGTATTGTATCTGTGGAAGAACAGTGTTGTCACCTTACGACAGGAAGTGTGTTAAAGTTACAAAATACCCCCTCAATTTCTCATTTCCATAACACGGGAAGGTGTTCTGTAGTTCACAAAGAGAATTCAGGTATGGCTGATAACACTTTTTTAAGATTTAAGTGCAGCATTGTTAGCTTTCCACAGGAAGTTAGGAGCTCACTAAATTTCTTTTACAAGTATTTTATTAAAAAAAGATGCCATAACAAAATAGCCCAACAATAAGGAATAAGGCATAGGAGA